CTTTCTTAATCTCTTCTTCCTCGAAATCCCTTTCCAGCCACCTTGCCACTCCATCATCAATTCTTGGCCAWTCCACCMYTTCCAYGACTGCTCTCTCACTCAAAGGTCTTCTATAAATCGATTTGAAGTGGTCCACAAATTTTCTGGCTATGTCATCCCGGTTGGTAATCACCTCCTCTCCTATCTCTAGCTTGGTCACAAGATTCTTTCTTCGACTCCCATTTGCCTAATCATGGAAAAATCTAATGTTCCCATCGCCTTCCTTAATCCACTTGTGTCTAGCTTTGTCTCTAACTTATTTCTTCCCTCAGTAACACCTCTTCCAAATCCTTTTCCAATTGTCTCCTTAACACTTTGTCCTCCTCAGTCAACCCATTTTGAGATTCCTTTACATCAAAGTTTTCTATTCGAGAGATTAAGCACAATTGTTGCTCCTCAATTCTACCAAAMTGATCTCTATTCCACTCTTTTATTTTGGCTCTCATCCTTTTTAATTTCTTATGAAACTTGATCCCCTTCCATCTTACCCCCCTCTCCTCCTCACCCCACCATTCCTTCACTTTTTTCACAAAATCTGGATGAGTAAGCCACATATTTTCGAATCAGTACCTATCTGGATAGGACGGTGATCAGAGGTGACCCTGAGTAACGCTCTAGCAACCAAGTTTTCCAAACTATTCACCCATGCAAAGTTAAATAAGAACCTGTCCAACTTCGAACACAAAGGGGTTTCCTGAAGGTTGGACCAWGTGTAACTGGCTTGCAACAGAGGTATTTCCTTCAGTTCACATTCTTTAATAAAACCATTAAATTTCCTCATGCTTGTTGAGATTACCTGTTGGGGATTACTGGTTTGAGACACCCTTACCAATAAGCATTCAAAAATAGCGTCCAAGCTTCTTTCCTATTCTCTGAAAATTCTTGCATTCCTTTCTTCCCACACAGTCCAAACTATTGTTGCACATGTGCATCTCCACATAATTCTTACTCTCTTTGTTGGCTATTGATACAAGGAAGGAGAGAAGAGCCACAATTGTCGGGGTTATCCATCTGCACCCAAAAAGAGAGAGAACAATCTGAAATACAAGTCACAAATGAACAAGAGATTACCGAGTGACAACGTCTCTCACTGCAAGCTTTGTATAGAACACACCAGCTAGGGGATAAATAACAATTAGGCCTTCTTTTCTACAAGAGGCCCATGGTATAATTTTTTTCATAGAAGATTTTCCAACAAAAATCCCCTACCTTACGGCACACCTTTTACCTGGGAAAAGATGCACAGGGGAGAAATTAGAGGATAGGACCTTAACGAACGAAGAATAAGAAAAGGTCCTGGAAGAGCTATGAATCAAAATGTGACCATCCATAGACATTAGAAATGTTTATGTTAATAATAAACTGCAAATATGCAATTAATACATGATGTAAAGCATTTAACATGTAGTCCCTGTTTTCTAACATAAAAGAAGATGGAAAGGCTATTAGTTGGGGGAGGAATGTTCTTTCTTTTTTCTCTTTCAGAGAGAGAAAGAGAAAGAAAGATGACCCCCTGTTCATTGTAACTCCTCTAACCTCTTCTCTAGGGAGGGGGAGAGAGATGTGTGATGTCACTTGTATCCACTTTTTCATGGCAATCCCTCCACACCAATACAATACAAACTGCAAGAAGCACTGCCCCCCCCCAAAAAAAAAAGAAAAAGGAAAAGGAAAACTCCTCTGCCATTCATCTTTTATTTTATTCATTATTTCTATCCTGTAGGCACATACCTCATACAGTTACATACATCACTAACACCTAAAGAAACCCATCTGCATGTCATAGCAAAAAAGCATACATAACATTATTTTAAATAGCTAGTGGTCAACACGACAAATAATGCCTAACTGAATCTTAATTGGACCAAACAGTTGAGAATCCAAATACGATCTACATTAATTGATCTATCACTTTATATCCATATCTTGCTCAATCAAATCGGATCTAAATTAGATCTGAATCATGAACTGAGCCATCATCAACATTGAATAAAGCTTTAAGAAGTAACTTTTTTCTTTACAAGATAGACTAATCATCTATATCAAGTCATTATATAGTTGTCCCAACCAACCAGGCAACCACATCATGGGCATGGACCGGTTAGTGAATGACGTAATCTGTAAGGCCCTCAAGTGACTTGGTTGACTACTGAATACATTCACGCTTCTGATGCTTCCTTAGTAAAAGCTTACAAATTTGATCAGAAAAAGCTTACCGATGAAGTTATCTATATTTCCAGTGGTTATGAAACTGCTACACTGTGGATTTCAAATGTATCACCAGTAGTTTTCACTTAAAACAGGAAAGTATCAAGCAAAGGTATCCCAACCATAACCCAAGTCTCAAATTTAAATCAATTTCATTTCTAAAACTCTACCAACCTCCCTAATTTTTTGAAAGAATGAAAACTGATGCACCTAAAGATAAGAATTTGTGAATCACAGACAACATAAATAATCAATAATATGTAGTAGCAGTCACGGGTAGACCAAAAAGGACATGGGTAGAAGTAGTAAGAAATGATTTAAATACTAATAATTTAACAGTGAATATGGATTTAAATAGAACGGATTGGCCAAACAGGATTCATGTATCCAACTCCATATAGTTGGGATAAGGCATGATGATGATGATGATGATGATGATGAGTCACACCTTGGCAGCGATGAGACCACTGATATGAGCCATATCACACATCAGTATTGCTCCACATTTATCTGCAATCTGTCTGAACCTTGCATAATCCCACTCTCGGGGGTATGAGCTACCTCCACAAATAAGTATTCTAGGGCGGAAATCAATTGCTCTCTCCTCGAGCTTATCATAATCAATGTAACCTGTGAGTGGATTCACCTTATAAGGGAGACTCTCAAAGAAGATAGATGCACCAGAAACCTTCTTTCCACTAGACGTATAGTAGCCATGGCTCAAGTGTCCTCCTGATGGGGAATCCAACCCCATGATCCGATCCTTAGGGAGGAGAAGGCCTGTATAAACTGCAAAGTTAGCTGATGTACAAGAGTATGGCTGAACATTAACTCCCCACTTCTCAGGATCAAGATTGAAAGCTGACAAAGCACGACCACAACAAAGTGTCTCGATTTGATCGATGAACTGATTACCACCATAATATCTTGCACCCGGCATTCCTTCCGAATACTTGTTCGTCAAATGGCTTCCCAGAGCTTCCAACACTGCTCGACAGACAAAATTCTCGGAAGCAATCAGCTCAATTCCTTTGAACTGCCTCTGTTTCTCCTTCTCCATAATCTCATAAACATCAGGATCAGCAACGCATAGTGGTTGGTTCCCCCAAGCCCGTACCGCAGTCCTCCTCGTTTCAAGCCCCGGTTCGAAAGAAACCCTCTTCAAAGGATTAGAAGAAGACGAACAAGACGACGATTCTCCATCCCTTCGTCTCTTCAAACACATCGGATGACCCAAAAGACTGAATTCCTCCTCCTCTTCCTCCCCTTGTTCTTCCTCCTCTCTCTCCCCATTCACTGAGCTCTCATCCCTTCGCCCCTCTGGCTGTTGCTCAAGCAACTGCAATGGAATCGACGGACCCGAATGAGAGTGCCCACGGAAGCTCGGGTCGATTTGTAACGAGATAGAATCATCGACAATTGACGTTCGAGGAGCCGGTGAGGCATGCGAAGAAAATCCTAACGAAAGACTCGAATGCCCGTTCGATAGATCCATGACAGAATCGCGAATGAGACAGAACAACAAAAGCCCCTACGGTCCTACAGTACAAAACAATCAATCCTTTTTCCCGAAAAATATCAGCTAAATTCACGAACAGCAATAGCAACAACAGAAGCAGCGACAATAGCGTCTGAAGCAATTGCAATAACAGTAGCGGAATGTCGAATGGACTGATATGGTCGATGAAGAGCCGGATGCATCCATGGGAGTTGTAGAAACCCTAACCCCAATCCTTACAATTGTTCGAAGGGAGGGGGGGAGACCGATAGAGATAGCAAATTGGAAGCCAAACAAACCAAACGATGGCGTCCACGCGGAGTTTTGAGATGCGGGCTGCACATGTATCTGATTCCAGTCAGTCCAGAGTTGGCTGTAGCTGTACGATCAATTCTTGGTGACCGGCAATAGCCGGTTGCAGAAAGATTAATTTTTTAATACACGTGTACGTCACGCATTACGCATTGATCAGAAGAGTCATTCCCATCGGGACGGAATAGGGTGCATGTTCAGATCGTCTGGCATTGGCGGAAAATGGGGACCACCTAATCATAAACGTGAACTAAATGCGTTATATATTGGAATTTTATGATTTGAGAATCGATGAAATACAACGGACTGAACGGAGGCTTTGATAACAAGTATAGAGAGATTCCAACCCTAGAGATGGAAACCTTGACATTGTGATCATTCCCACTAGAGAAAAGATTCTATATCAACGATTTCTAAATAGATCATCATCATTCCAATGTCTCGATTGAATTATATTTATTAGGATGCAATTTGATCGTAGGGCAAAGGGCCGTATGATTAACAGATGAAATGGCTGAATGTTTTATAATTTAGGTAGGACTGTCAATGGGTCGGGTCTGACTGATGGACCCGACGGAACCGAACCAATTAGATATGTTCTGATTCTAGTATTTGTCTTGATGGTCAATTCCGGTTCTAATTTCTTGTCCCGATTATTATTAGGTCGGCCACCCAATAATAAGCTATATAATATATGTAATATTTATATTAATAGATATTGGTGGAGTTTCAATCAAAACCCCACTGAAATGACCATTGCGTTTTCCAATCTACCGAAAGGGAAAAGAAAGGAGATTTAGGGACGCTATTAGACCTATTCATGGGTTGGGTCGGGTTGGATTTGGGTTGGGTTTTTACTCTTTATTAACAGAAAAATGTTATGCCTGAGCCCGAGCCCGGCTCGACCAACGGGCCTACAACTTGGGCTCGAGCCCGGTCCTGATAAAAAGCTCGAAGCCCGACCTAATAAAAGAAATTCGAATTTTTCCCTATTTAAATGGACATTATCTATTTTAATTCAGATGTTTTTTTTCCCTATTTAAATGAACAATGGGCCTACAAGTGAATCAACAACCTTCTTAAATCAAAAAATTTATTCAAATGGACATCACATAGGGTTTTTACTTAGATTTAACTATAGGTTGGGCCGGGCCGGGCTCGGGTCGAGCTATTTTGGCAAAGCTCGAGCCCGGCTTGAATTTTATGCAGGCCGAACTTTTTGGCCTGAGGTTAAGCCCGCAGGCCAAAAAGCCTGTTCAAGCCCGTCTGGGGGCTGGGCCGGGCCATCGGGCCACCCGGCCCATGAACAGGTCAAGACGCCATCAACTCTCAACTCCATTCAACCACTGATAAAAAACCAATCATTTGGGTTTTTGGATTGGTTTGAAGAGTGAAGATTTTCAGGTTTCAGTTGAGTAGCGAGAAGCCTAGATCAAACTAATAAATATGCAAAAAGATTAGACTTTTTACCTTTGTTCTTGAATCTTGAAGCATGTGGACTTTCAATCTTCGAACTAGTCAAAATTCTTGAAGCATGTAGATAGTAGACTTCAAACAGGTTAAAGTTATTCTTCTGATTTTATGTTTTGCTCTTATTCGCCATTAATAAGTGAAGAATTAATCATAACTTCTGGGATTTTTATTTGGGTACGTTTAGGAAACGAGAGGATGTTGCTGTTAAAGAAAATTTTACTTTAGTGAAAATTTCATTTTTTACATTTGAATTACTTAATCGGGTCTATTGGATTGGGTTGGACCCAATTGGCCCAAGAACTGATTGATTCCATTCTGAGTCTAAAATTACAGATTTTATAGGGTTTGGGTAAATTTTGGGTCCCATATAATCGACTTACACCCGACCCATTAATAGTCCTAAACTTAGGCTGCATCTGGCCGGGAGATAAGTCCTTAAACTTATTGAATAAGTTATAATAGAAGAGAATGTGAATTTGTGATTTGTGAGTTTATTACCATACCTAAAATATTTTATTAATTGATTATTTTATCCACTAAAAGGACAAGAAAATGAGTTGTTTAATTCAATTAAACCACTTCATCCCATTATGGCCCATGTCCAGAAAATTTCAATCTACTTAGTTACCTCTCTCTCTCTCTCTCTCCAATATTTCTTGTCACGTGCAATTCAAATTTTGAGATGGTGACTTCTTGTTAGGAATGCTTGGAAGTTTGAGTCCATCATTGTTGCAAGAAAACAAAAGTTAATTAAAACAAGCACTTGACAGAAGATAATCTAAACTACAAATGGGATCAATTTTTACCGTAGAAAATGAAGTCAAAAGGTAGCCATGTAGGAATATAAGGAATTCAAAAGATGGAGTCCACTTAAAAAGAGAAGAAATGGTATCTTTAAATTAAAATTGTTAAGTTAGTACTTGTTTAATTAGAGTTTGATAGAATGAGAGCAAGTTACATAATTATAGATGTTCCAATACAAAGGTGTTATTTCTTGAAATAAAAGCTCTTATAAGATTATCTTAATGGTATTAATCTAGAAAACTATTATAATTTACAATTTGAAGATTAAATTATTTCTAAGTGATCAATATGTAGAACAACAAGACAATTAAATCACTAAGACCATCAGAATTTAAATACATATAAATATTAGTATAATAGAAAAATATTCTATCATCATGAAAGGAACAATTTTTTAAATCAAAAGGAAACAATTTGTCAATCCAATGATGACATTTTTTGCTAAAGTGGACCTTCCCTGAAAAAGTAATAGGCAAGTTAGGATTTGGGGAAAAGTAGATCAGATGGATGATGTAATATGTCACTAGTGTTTCTTGTCAAATCCTCGTATATGGCTCAATTGGTAGGTTAGCTTGTTCATTTTGGGGAGGGGGTTATTAGTTTGGTGCATATCACCAAATACCAAAAAAAAAATCCTCATATATGGAACTCTAACAAAAAGAGAACAAGCTTTCCATCTAGAATATTAAAATTAATAAGACCCATTATCCTCTTATCCCTTTATATCGCTTTTCCAAGTTTAAAAGCTCTTCTTTCAAAACTTGTACATCTCCTAAAAATTTCAATGTTTAGAGAATCTAACCAGGCATCGACTAGTTAGATTATAGTATATTCAAAATGTATAATTATATTCTGTTGTCACATATTCATAAAGAGAAAAGTAAATGGATTTTATTTATAAGAAGACATATTCATAAAGGACAAATGTGAGAAAGTGGCTATCCTTGAATGATATTAGGAATGGCAACGGGGCGGGGCGGGGATAGGGAGCCTGTCCCCGCTAACGGGGACAAGGTTATCCCCATCCCCTTCCCCACGGGAATCCCCATTCCCCATGATTTTTTATAATGTTAATCATTTTACTTTTGTTTTTTTTTATTTTATTTAAAAGAATAAAAATAAAATAATTAAAATTTACAATCCTATTGGAAAAGATTTAAACATATTCAACCATATTTTTAAAAATATTAGTATATAGATGTAAATGTACATATAAATATATATAACACATGCATACATATATACATATTAGTGGGGATCCAATGGGGCTGGGATCGGGGTCCCCATAGGGCGGGGAGTGCTCTCCCCATCCTTGCTAACGGTAATGAAAATGGGAAATGGGAAAAATTGCCATCCCTAAATGATATGTTGTGTTCCTTCTACAAACAACAATATGAAAATGCCACTAATATCTTCTTCCTCTGTCCCTTTTCCAAAACCATCTGGTGTGAAGCTCAAATTGGTTTGAGCGTAAATTTGGTTGGATAGCAATCCCCCTTTCCAATCATCTCTAAATGACTTCACATACTATCACTTAATCTCTCAACAGAGGAGGTTTATAGGCTTTTCAGTAGAACATGCATTATACTTTATCTCATTTGGGATGCACATAATAAGATAATATTCCAAGGAACCCCTTGTAGTTGTATGCCTATAGATGTCATCATGAGAAGTTATAACTACATGCTTGTTGAACTACCATTGGATAGAAGAATATTGGTCCCTTGTATTCCACGCCCATCATTTAAGCTCAAAGACGACAATGTTGGGCCATTAACAACTATGACTCAAAAATCCATCCCAAATAGCAAGCTTGGAAGTAACTTCATCATACAAAATCAGAGATATACATATTAGTATGGACTCCTTACAGCTAGTCAACTTTTTGGGTAATGTCTCGAAGCATATCTACAAGATCTAGCAACTTCATTGGGACCAGGTATCAACACTTCTCACTTCTTTTTGCTACTCTCTTGTGCCCATGTATTAAACAAAACTCATTAATGATGATACAAGATGACCAAGTAGCCCCATATTTCCAACATTTGTTGGGGACCTCTACCACGATCTCATTGCATGACATATTATTGCACCTACCAATGGATGTTGACACCAATGATCCAATGGTATAGAAACAACAATGCTTACCTCTTCATTTTACCTATACTATAATCAATCATATGAATGTGTAATCAATGTACATAACAACAATTATTCTTTGTCATACATGATTCTCTTTCATATGATTAATTAATATAAAATATTAGAAATATGTCTAAATGTTTTCTACATAATTTATATATTTTGTATTTTTATGTTTTATTATTTAATTATGACTTCACAGGTTAACATATTTAACCCGAAATGTTAAATTGTTGATCTAACACCAAACAAGAAAACAAGTTCACTTTTGGGTTAGTTTTAAAATTTGTATTTTATTTTCACCATCAATAAAAAGTTAAAAAATTCGTGTTTGTCATGTTTAGTTTTTCATATGATTAATATATATATATATATATGTTGTATTTTATTTGTGTTTTGTGTTTATCATGTTTATTTAATTATGAGATCAAGGGTTGACATATATAGCCCAAAAGGTTGAATTGTTGACCCGCCACTAGGCAAACAATTTCATTTTTTTGGTTGGCTTTAAATTTTATATTTTATTTCCAGCATCAATAAAAACAACTATTATTTATCACACTTGTTTTTATTTGATGTGATTA